TATTGAGAAAATCATCTTTAAAGTTGTTCAGATGAAGTTCTTAGCAATGCATATTACTAATCAAACATTAAGTTTTGATATATTTACGGTAGGAGATTTACAAAATATCTTCATGGAACATGAATTTTGACCCATACAATGTATTGTTGGCTATTGCTACAAATATACCCCAGTGACTTAACACTGCTTTTGTGCCGCAGAGTCACATATATGAATATTCCATGCAGCAGAGACTCGGTGTCAGACTGAACTAATCAAAACTCTAGAAGGTTTCCCAGGGTTCGTACAGATACCGCAAAATTAAATCCCAGGACTTTTCAAGCACTACATTTTTGGTTTTCCACGACTAAAATCAGAGATCACACTTATCAAACAATATCGTTATTACCTTTCAAATTCTAATAAATTAACTAATAAAACAAAATGGTACAAATAAAGTGCAGCACATGCAAAGCATGCAATGACTGTGGCAACTTTAACATTTGAAAGGATACTATGGCAAAGTTATCTTTAGTCAAAAAGTACTTATGGCAAAGTAGCCTTCCTTTTTCAAACTGATTTTTTTTCATGAACATATGACCTGAAGAATGAAAGCTATATCATACACTTGGAAAATTATGAGCTATATCACGCTCTTAGAAACTAGGGGTGTGACAATACACTTAGCTCACAAGATGAGACAAAACAAAATGCAGATACTTGTTTCACTAGAACGAGACAATATTTTAAAGGGCACCTATTATGCCCCTTTTTACAAGATGTTATATTGGTCTTGGGTGTCCCCATAATGTGTCTGTGAAGTTTCAGCTCAAAATACCCCACAATCATTTATTATAACAGCTGGAAAATGTCATTTTTGGGGTGTGTTTAAAAAAAAAAAGAGCTTTTTTGGTGTGTTTCACTTTAAATGCAAATGAGCTGCATATTCCCGCCCCGTCTCCAGAAGAGGGCGACGCGTATACTTCTCTCTGCGCATACATAAACATATTTAGGTAGATTTTGAGGCGCATTACCTTGAAAAATTAAAGTAATCCACTGCGTCATCAATGCTGTGCTGTAGGGGTGTGCGATATATATCGTCTGCGATAATTTGGTTCAATCGCAATGACTCACTTATTAACAGTGATTTGCTGCCACCTGCTGGCGGTTTTAATTTCAAATTTCGGCTTTTTCTTTCTTTTCTTTTCTTTTTTTTTCTTTTTTTTCTTTTTTTCATGTTTTAAATCATTTCAAATATCAGTATTCAACGTTTTATGTTTAATATATCAAAACATTATTTATGCATTTGTAATTGCAGGTTAAATGCATTCATGTCTTGCATTAAGCAAAATACATGTGTGTAAATACATCTAAATGCCACTTCAGATGCAGCTTCTGTGTTGATTTAATTTGCTTGGTAACAGCCCAAATGTCTTATTATTCTAATTCCCTGATTAAATGTAAGAATTTGACTCAAAAGATAATGGACACTTTTAGAAAAAATGGCTTTATAAAGGTTAAAATGCCCATAAAATGCAAAAATCTGTTTAAACTTATTGGAAAAGATTAATTTCTATCAGTATGAACTGACCAGCACACAGAATATGAAGATTATTAAAAACATTAGGAGTCAGCTGTCTTCGGCAGTCCTTAAGGTACCAGCACAATAACACACTCAGCAAAATATCGTCTAATTATCGTTATCGATAAAATCCCATAAAATATCGAGATATAATTTTTTGTCAATATCGCACACCCCTACTGTGCTGTCAATCAGCTGCAGTGGGCGGGGCCTATGCAGTGTGATGTCACATTGCATAGAGATAGAGAATCAAAACGACAGGCCTAGTGAGACTGATTTGGTTTAAAGGGGATTAAAAAATGAGGAGTGGGTGAATTTTTATCATTGTAGGGTGGTTGTGTTCACACACTGCCAACACATTTATGTCCAAACACCATGTAAAAGTGGATTTTGCATAACAGGTGCCCTTTAATACTATTTTAAGAAATTTTCAGTGACAAAATATTTGTCTTTTAATTACAAAATGCAAAATAATGCAGTTGTATTTTGAAATGTTTAACTAATCTAGGGCCATAACTAACGATTATTTTGGTAATCAAGTAATCTACTAATTATTTTGACGAGTAATCTGATATTTTGTGAAAAACAGGCTTTAATATTGCTATATTTACCTATATATAAAATAACGACGAGGCAATAATAATAGGTTCAAATAAAGTATTTACATATCACAAGTAATTACATGGTTTTATTCATAATACATAATGTAATATGCCTATACATAATATGAGCATAAACTTAATTACTTAATGTATTATAACAAATACCTGCAGGGGGCTCTGTATTTATATCAGATGCGCTGCATTGTTAATTTTGTGTGAAAAGACTGCTTTTATCGAAAACAAAAATTAACACTAATTTCATATATAATGCCTCTTAAAAATTCAAGCACTTTTCAAGTACCTTTTCATAAATATGGCTGTTTTCAAGGGTTTTCCAGGACTTAAACTTCAAAAAGTCAAATCTTCAAGCACTTTAAAGGGGTCATCGGATGCAAAATTCACTTTTACATGTTGTTTGAACATAAATGTGTCTTACGGTGTGTGTACACAACCACCCTATAATCATAAAAATCCACCCAGTGTTTTTTTTTTTTTTTAAATCCCAATAAATCATACCCACTGTCTCAGATCAAGCTGT